TACAACACCCAGTCCCCTCCTCTGCTTGTTTAATGCCAGGGCTATAGGTTCCTTTTCCTAGAAGTCCACAAGTTGTGAGGAGGTCCTTTGTAATCACAGCAAAGTAGTACATCATCCTCCATGAGCCAGATCCCAGCTCCTACCTCTGACATCTTAAGTCCAATTAACAGGCAGCTGTAGTGACCTGATGTTGCAACTGATGCCAAATACTTACAAATTGGAAGGCAAAGTGTAAAGAAGACAATAAGTACTTAAAAAAACACCAAAGATGCTTCACAGTAGCCGCACTAACCCTTCCCAGTCTTCTGCACATCCACAAGAGCCCTCCAGCCCTTCTTGCTGTCAAGACTTGCAACTCACCCTAATTTCTGCTGGGCTCAATTTGGGAAGGCAGCTCACATGCAACAGGAGGAAGCATCCCATTGCATTGGAAGAATCTTCTTGTCACTTATCTCAAAGCTTGCCCAATGACTCATGATCAGAAAGCATTTGGGTAGCATTCCCAGGGGATTTCACATATTTTAGGTCCTTCATTTCAAACTAACTAGCAAAACAGCAGACCTGTTGAAACAAGGTACTCAGAAAAGAGACACGGCGCTGCAGACATTTCTCTGGTACTCTATTATTTCTAAAATAATAGAGTCTATCCTATAATAATAGGATGCAAGAATGATTAAGTACTACCAACAGTACAGGCACCAAGTTTTTTCCCTAATGACCAGCACATCACAACCCAAGGCTAGCAAACTCAGTACAAAGTCTCAGTGTGCACTTGCAATTGTAACTTCCACTTCATTGTGCCTGCCCTTCTTTTAAGAAAAAACCAAAAGCTACCATTCATTTTAGGGGTCTTTCTGACATGATTAAATCTTTCTCTTCGCCACATATAACAGGAGTGCAGGAGAGCTCAGGGAGCAGGGGGAGGTGAGACTGTGACCACACTCCAAGGCAGTCAGAGCACCACTTACAGAAGGAATTGTGCCCTGTCTACTAGCTTCCTTTTATTTCTTTGCTTTGTGCCCCTCATCCCTCCCAAACAAGACATCCTCTTTTTTGTCAGTCCAGTAGCCTCAGAGTTTGGCACTGTTAACTCCTTTGCAGCACAGGGAATTAACTTCTGGAGTGCAGCAATACTGAATTATCAGACCAGAATCTCCACATAAGCAATAAAAGAAAACAGGCAAATCAACAACAGGAGGCAAGCAGATGATGTTATTGCTTTGGATTTCTCCTGAGAAGCAACTACCTCCCTTCTCTGACTTCATGGGGAATGGAGACATTTAGTACAAGTCCTCATTGACAGGCTTCTACTTTTTTATCTTAAAAGTACTTATCCAAAGCATCTAAAGAAGCATGTCATGATGGTTCATTCTACTTGCAAAGCCAAGTGTTATTTCCTAGCCCAGTGGACAGCCACACCAGCTGCTTCCTTCCAACAGCTGCTCTGGAATCTCTCATTTCAGAAACTCATTCAAATGCTGCTATGTTTATAGCAGCTCCTTAATTTTCACAGTGACTTAAGAAGGTTCTTCTCACATATGATTTGCAATATTGTCACACTGAGTTAGAGTGGTTAGTAGAGAACCATTATGGAAAGATAGCAGAGGACAGAAAGTAAGGATTTAAGAAAACAAATAACTAACTGTGTGTTACCTGGTCAGCACAGCCTGTGGTGAGAGGTGTGAAATGGGACTTTGCTGCTGCTGCCTTTGCTTAGCCTCACAGCCTGGCAGTGAGTATGTCTGGCCTGGCAGTGAGTATGTCTGGCCCACGAACCCCACTGCACTTTCATATCGTCTCAGCACAATCTGGTCTTTTTCATTTCTCACCCCATCTCTTCTATGAAATTTCAATTACTCCAAGGAGAAACTACTATTACTATTAGAAATTATGACACTTTAAGACAGATAACACCTTTGTCTGCTTATACCACTGCCAATACCAAGTGAATTATTAGGTACTGGAATTGTAAGAATGAATTTGAGGCCTTGGCAGCACTTCTCTGTTCTGTGCCCTATCAAACTCCAGTCACAGAAAGGTTTCTCTATCTGCATTGCCTGAGCAGATTACTGCAACCAAAGTCCATGTTGCATCCACTGTAACTGGCTGAATACACAGAGGTGTTACTTCACCGACAAGACAAACTCCCACAAGCTTTAGATAGAGGTAGTTTTCTGCATACTGTGTATTTGTTTTGTTTCACCATGACTAAAAGGAACACAAACCTCTTTTTTAACCAACACAGTCAATTTGCTTTTTGAGTCCATTTAAATGTATAATGGTCCTTCACACGGCAAAGTATAAAACGTATGAGAAATGCAGCATTATAAATGTAGAAATCCTATACCCGGAAAGTGGGAGATACTTTACCATCAATAACAACCGAATCATCTGCTTTTCTTCCTAAGGCTGTACATACGTCCTTTCTATTTTAAGTACTTTAACTAAATGTTAAGTATATGCTTTGCTTTGTGACAAAGAGTGGTTTTCCTGATAGTCACCAAGCATAGAAGATTCTTTATTCAAGCTCCCCTGCCCCTTAACCCTTTATCCTACATCTTGGGCTGCAGGAGTTACACTCCTCTTTTAACAGGACAGAAGTGTAAGAACCAAATAAAGTGAGAGTTATAGATAACAGATGGCAGACTGGAAAAGCAGGTCAGTAAATGTCCCCTCTTAGAAGATCTAGCCTGCTCCGTCTTCATCCCTCCCCTTACAAGCCAGCCTGGCTGCCCCTGTCCCATGGCAGCTCATTAGTCACAATGCAGCAGTGCCACTGTGGCATGGCAGCATCTCTCACTTTGATTCCATTCTCAGTCTACATCTCAACTTTTCTCCTTCCAACAGTATTTGGATCACAGGCCAGTTGAAGTCAGGACTTGCAATAGTCCTTGGGTGTCAGCCCAGGAGAATTAAAAGTATTATCATTAGTAGCCTGCAGTGCTTCTGTTCACGGAGGCAAAATCTGACATCAGTTGTCTGACATCAAGCAGTTGTATCAGAGCAGTATGAGCCTGCTATGTAACACCACAATAAATGCTCTGGAGTCAAATCCACTTCAATTTGTACAACTTTTTTTATTTCTCCAGTCTCAAATATTTATTCCCTGTGAGCCGCTTCTTGCGTTGCCGAGGAACATCGGGCATTACGGCCATGTTTTGCCTGACACTGGCACTAAACAAGTAATGGGTCTATAGTTTCTGATTACGGACAAAATGAGTTTCTCGGGATTAGGACCTTTGCATACATCTTTTATGTTGTCCTGAACTACATTATCACAGTTTTGTTTACCTTAAATACACTCTGAATCTAAAACATATTTATCATGACCTCAAGTTCCCACACTAGACATTCATTCATAAATGTATCCTTCTAATTCAGACTGATACTCGTCACAACACAGTCAAGTTATGGATCTTAAGCCAGACTTGAGATTCATTTCTCACAAATTAAAATGCTTACATGCCTTTAACCTACTGATTTCTTTTCACTGACAATAAAAGAAGTAAAAGCTAACACCATAGATATCTAAAGGTACATGAGATGAATCCTGTTCTTTATGTCACTGTTTAGCTTTGGATTCTCTTCTCTGTGAGCCAGGTCCAGGAGATGAACATGAGACAGAGTTCAGAAACTCCTGAATCACAGAGCTGGTCAGTGTTGATGGTTCACTGGCAACTTAGAGTAGCATGCTACGACTTGCTGGCTGTGAGCAGCTTTATGAAAAATCACAGATCTTGTGCTGTAAAACCTAAAAATCCCATAAAGTCTATTAAAGAATTTTGGTCATTAACAAAAACTTTCTACAAAGAAGAAAATTCTGTGGAGAGAGAATTAATTACAAATCTCAATTCTGCCTAATATTTTATGCACTGTACCTTACTTACATGCTCTTTCTCATAAGTGGCATGCTACTATGATCAATATTAAAAAATGCATAAGGCGGACACTGAGTGGGAAAAGAGTTGCTCAAATATTTACAACAGAAGCCCAAAAATATCTGAATTTCCAATTCTCAGACGTGTGCTATAACCATGGTGCCAAGCAAGGTGACAGAAAGAAGGGGCTGAAAGCCTTAAGAATCTGCTAATCATTTACAATTAATTCATGGGTGTACTGCGAATGCAGTTCAGCCCAAATGCAGTGCCAAATATTAACAGAAAGATTGGTTTCAATATAGGGAGTATTTTCTTTTCTGAGTGATCCTACCTTCATCTTTTTCTTTAAAGTCACTAACCTACCTCATTCTGATGGTGGCAGCAGCATAATAAGGATAACAACAATTAATGGAACCACCTAAATATTTTGAGAAATATATAGTTCAGATATCTTACATTAGTAAATTCCTTTCCATGTGGTCTATAACACACAAAGTTTTGCCTGCCTACCAGCACTTGGGCCTCATATCTCCAATTATGTCTTTAAATCACCATTCAGAGTAAGCACAAATAAGATGCAGAAAATCTTCCATCAATCTCCTACAGATTTACCTTATCAGAGGTGAACTCAGAGATATGCTGTTGTTAGAACTATCTCATTAGCTGCCTTTATTCATAAACAGCCATCAAGGAAATCCTACCATAGACAGAAAAAGAGCAAGACTAGATAGAACTGGGATTCGTCATCTGTCCTATGCAAGAAAAATCTCCATAACTTAAGTTCACACTTGATACTGTTTCCAGAAATTTGTTTGAGACTTCTTATATGCATCTGCATTTTCTGCCTCAGGACACAAACCATACTTAGCCAAAGAAACTCTGGAAACTGAAAACAAGGTCTTCAGAAGGCTTAGGGAGTGAAGTGGCAAAGTTAATGAAATAAAGGTAGAAAAACTGGGAGGAAACAATCAGGGAAGAAAGTCTTCTGCATGTAGGGAGTGGACTTTAGCATTGGGAAGACCAACAAGGGCAGGGAAAAGTCTCACGAGAACACTGGATTTTGTTCTCTTTCTCACGCGCACCTTCAGCTTTGTGTAAATGAGGTCAGAAAACTCGACTTACCTCGCTCACATGTTCTACCCCAATAGCCAGTGCCAGTGCAGTCACAGATGAAGCGGTTCCAGCCATCCTTGCACACTGCATTATTCTTACACGGGTAGCTGTCGCACTGCTTGGTGCTGAGGCGGGAGCAGGAGGACTTGACTCCTGCAGCATTCTGTGCCTCTGCCAGTTGCCGGATGTTCTTGCTTCTTCCATCAATGAACAAGTCTCGGATACAGCCGACATAGCCATAGTTCAGCATTGCTGTCCAGAGCTCTGTGGGAAGGATGAGTCCTGCCCGGTTCTCAGGCAGCCCACCAAGGTACATGTCGCCTTCCAGATCTAGGATCTCGCTCTCCCCGCTAGCGGTGAATGGGGTGCGTCTGCTGTTCACTGATATAGTACCTAAATGAGGAGGATAAGAAGACATTAATACTTTCAATTACAGTCTCAGTTTAGCTCACTTTTTTCCAATAACTGACTGAGGTTTAAGGTTCAGCATAGGAGAGTGAAGATTCCTCCCTACCCAAATGCAATTCCAACAGATACGTTAGCTGTGTGTCTCTCACACAGCTCTGTCTCCTCTTGAACTATAGGTCCTAAGAACTTCCCTGCAGTGACTGAAGATCATGTGTCTGTATCCCAAATTGCATTATAAAGTCAGAATCATAACTGTGCAATGGCTAAATAATATGTAAAAACTGAGCATTCAATAGTATTCATCTAGTAAAGCAAAGACTTATTGAGAACATAGAGGATTTTGATATAGGACTGGAGAGAAAAAAGATAAGCAAAAGAATAGTAATTCACACTACATAGCTCTTTCAGAAAACACTTAATCAGTACCTCCAAACCTGGACCTGGATGATGGAACTAAATAGACATCATCAGGTTTGTAGGTGACATCAACTTGAGGACAATGGTTGATGTATTGGAGGAAGCACTAGGCTACCATTCAGAGAAACCTTTACAAGGTGGATCAAAGGACTGATAGCAATATTTGATGTAAATCAAAAACAAAAAATACAAAGTCCTACACCGGGGTCAGAATAGCCTCACACTCAAGTACAAGTTGCAGACCAACTGGCTAAGGAGCAACTCTGCAGGAAAGGACTTGGAGATGTGGCAGGCAACAATCTGAACATGAGTCAGCATTGTGCACTTGTAGTGACAAGAGACACTGATCACAAGTTGCAGTAAGGTGTCCAGCCAGGACAGGGTTAATTTTTGCAGTAGCCGGGAGGGAGGATCTCACATCATTGCCAGGGGTGGGGGAGAGGGGCCCTCTTGCCAGGAGAAGGAGTTCCTTCCAGTCAAGCGTGTTCCTTCCAGTCAAGCAGACGGAGCAGCGGGGCAACAATGTTTCCAAGCCAGAGGGAATGGTGGCATGGTGCTAGTGCCCGAGGGAGTGGTCAGGGTGGCATGGTTGCGCTTGGGTCAAGCTCCATGGCAAGCACTTTTGCATGAGAATCACTCTTTTGTACACTTTTGTTACCAATATTGTTGCTGCTACTGTTCATTTTATCCCATTGCCGTTTCCAGTAAATTGTTCTTATCCCAACCCATGACCCTCACCTTTTGTACCTCCAATTCTCCTCTCCAGTCTGCCACAGGGGGGAGGGGGAGGGGAAGCGAGCGAGCGGCAGTGTGGTTTGGAGAGCCTGGGTGGGGGCACTAAATTGGGAAGTACTATTCCTAAACCACCACACAAGGGAATCTCCAACTCCATAGAAAAGGACATTTTTCACCACAAGAAGAGTCTAACATGAGAACAGAAACCTCAGAGGAGCTGTGGAATCACCATCCTGACACGACCCTGAAGAAAGTCTAAACTGAACTAGAAATCTCCAGAAGTTTGTTCCAAAGTAAAATATTCTATGATTTTACAAAGAAAGTTTTCTAATTTCCATTTTATAAAGAGGAAAATTGAGGTAGAGAGAGACAAAGGTTATCTCTGAAGAACAGTTATTATTAAAATTTTAGTAGCTTCCATACGCTCCAAGCAATATGTGGGCATACTGCACTGAGACCATTCCTATATATTTCAAGAAATTGTCCCAGCACATAAAATAATCAAAACATATAATACATAAATAAATAAGAATATATGAAACAGATACAGAAACGCAAAATTATTTGTTAAAGGTCAGACAGTGCATCCAAAGAAAAACGGAAAACATAATGCACATCTCTCACATCTCAGAGCAGTGTATTCTTCTGAAGAGCATTTAGCAGCTTTCGTGATAGGGGCATCTGCCCATCAGACACTCATCTAAAAATCAGCAATTCACTCTCCCTAGCTATAAATCATCACATCCAATTGCCTTGTCATTAAGATAGTCTGTCTTCAGAGACACTTATCCAAGCTTTAAGATTAATTTCACATAATTGCATTTTTATCTACACCCCTAAAATAAGGTGGGAGAGTTAATAGAATCAGCCCTGTTTTGTGTCTCTGTGAGAAAGTACAGACATGTATATGCACTTTTTTCTCAGTCGTAATAGGTGTCCTCTTAAGAGAATGGCACGTACGACACAAACACGAGGTATTTCATGTGTGTGATGTTCAGGAATAATTGAGGAATAATGTCAGAGGCAGCAGAGTGTCAGAAGCAACACAGGTATTACAAATTAAAGGCTCAAAGAGAACAACAGTTATTTGATGAATCATTTTGTAAAAACAAGCTGCAGCACCACAGGCATTTTCTCTTTTACAAAGTAAGAAAAGAGAACACATGACAATACACATACAGTCGCACAGCCAATGTGTCACAGAGCCACGGAACTGCAGTCCCCCCTCCAGCATCTCTGCTGCTACTTCTCAAAAGCAGCCTGTAGAAATGCTGGAACACTGAGCTCTAGACAGCTGTTACTACAGAGGTAAAAAATATCACCTGCAAAAGCCACAAAGGTAAAGAAACCCCTTAAAGGACAAGAAATGTGGGATACCAAGAAGTATAAAACCTGGAGAAAGATGGTGAGATGATGAATGGAAACAGGCTAGAGAGAAATCAAAACATTCTGCCAGTGTTTTCCACTCTGCAACAATTCCTGTAAGGAGATGGTACTAGTTTGGTTGCACAGCATTTTTAAGACCAACCAGCTAAGAAGGAGAAATTCTGAATTGACCCTAGGAAGAAGCACTTCCATGAGTTGACATCCTTCCCTCCCCCGCCCCCCCAAATCCCATATTTGCAACTCTGTTTAGAGTAGATCCAAGTTGATCCAAATCCATCGTGAGAAATCAGAAGCATCCAAGCATCTCCTTTCCAGCGCCTTAGGCACTTTATGCAAGATTAAAGAACTAACAGACCAAAATACCACAGTTACTGAGGGCAGAGCTGGCATACAAAGTAGTGCACTGATGCAACTGTACATTAAACCTTCCAGTAAGAATTTTAGTGTCTGAGTGGGTGGGACATCATGTATGTTGTGTAGCTGATGACCAGCTAAAAATATTGTCTTGTGTAACAAGCTCACGGTTCCCCAGCTAGAAACTCTGACAGGTTTTGTGAACACTTTGTGGGAGCTTTCCCCAAAGACAGAAGGGTTACAGGACACTAGGTGCCCAAGTCCTTGCTACTAGCTTTTGTCAGAGTAGAGAGACGAAAACAGCTTTTCTTGTTCTAGCAGCCAACACAGACCAAAGCATACACAAGGCCTAAGGGGACTAGAGGTGTCAGAGGTTATCTGAGCATGACTGCCAAGCTCCCACAGTGCTCCTGCCTTAGTGCATCACAATAGGGAATATGTGGATTTTTAGGCTATTTTACTAAGCTAAGCAGAACCTGAAGTTTTGGATTATCTGAGAAATGGGAAAAAGAAGGGGAGAGATGACACCTAACAAAGTCTGTTTTAGTAAAGAAAATCAGAACCTCTAGGTCACTAGCTCATTAAACCCAAATGGCTGTTGTTAGCCTCAATTAAGTAAATTCATTAATTCAGTTTCTAGATGACAGGCATCCACATTGTGGGGAAAAGAAAAATCTTCAAGGTGTAACCATTCTCCACTCCACATGTGGGAGAAAAGCCAAGGAATAAACAAGAAGAGATCCAGAACTCCTTTCTCATGTCAATCACAAGTGTCACTGAATAAGAGTGACTGATGCTTGCTAAAGGGTATGATGTAAAGAAATGAATGCCAGTACCCTGGTTTTCTCAAGACACAAGACATCAGTCACTAGGATCATTAACCAAGTATTCATTGTCAGCAGAAAATATACTTTAGAAAAACAAAAAAAAAGGGACCACAACATACAAACATGTTCCTTCCTACTGAGAAGTGTTTCTAATTCAAAATTTGTTACCTCTAATCAATGTCCAGAACATCACAAATCTCCCTGTCAAGTGACAAACAAGTCAGTTCTACAGTTTCGTTCATCAATTAGCAATGCTGTCTGTCACACCCTCCTAGTTTAAATGAACATGTGTCCCTGTTCCTAGGGTTTTACAAACATTCTTTGTGGAGAGCCTAGTGTCATTTCGTTTCTTCTCCCTCTGCAGTTGTCTCTTCAGGGATGAGACAGTCACCAAGTGAGCAAGCAAAACTGAAGTCAGTACTGAATGCAACTAATTGAGTTTATCCTTGGAGGCTAATTAAATTTTAGCAATTCTAAAGAAATCAAAGCTCCACTTATTTATTTATGGCTTCCTTTGTAAAATGTCCCTATCGATGTCTTTAGGAGATAGCAATATATAACCACACATATTAAGTCCCAGTAGAGCACCATGCCAAATACAAAGAAACTACTCACATCATCAAAGAAAAAAATAGCTTCAGGCAAAGACCTGTTCAAACAGCTAGGCCTTGCATGATATCTAAAAGTCAGCTCTTTTAAAAACTCAGGGGAAGAAAATTCTAGCAGTGTTCTCTGTACTGATGGTATTCAGCAACTGGAAAAATCAAGTTTGGGATCTAAAACTATCATCTGGAGATCATCAGACAACCCAAATCCACTTGCAAATGTAAGCAAAATTTCCTTTGAAGGGAAGGCCTTGAGATCCCAATGGTTCAGAAAAAAAATCGACTACAATTGTTCACATATTCTCAAGATGAAGTTGCAGTATTTGATCATTTTTGTTCTCCACAATTTCAGAGCACATCATGAGTATGTTAGCTTGATATTCAGCACTAGAAACAAACAAAATACCTCTTGGTAATTGCAAGGTAGGTGTATTTTTAGAAATAAACAAAACCACATAATTGAAAATGAGAAGCTGCAGGCAAGAAAAAGGAACATCCACTGAATGTTGACTCATTAGAATTTGGCATCCAAAAGATGTAAAGAAGCCTAACTGAAAACTACAAAATACTAAAAGAAACAGAAGAGATGCAGAACTCCAGAACAGAATAGGGTGAAAATGTTGATTTGTTGGCATAATTTTGTGTCTGGTTGTGCCCATTACTTTTATTTTCCTCATGACCAGACACCAGCTGCAGAAACCCAAAGGAGACCAGTGAAATTTGTCAAAGTGAGAACAATGGTTCTGAGGACCTTAAACCTTACCATGGCCTATAAAGAATTCATCACTATAACCATGCATGCAATTGAAAAGATAGATCCAGAATATCCAAGGATTGTGAATAAAATATTAATAAACTGCCTCTGGATGTGCTATCCAAAGTTCACACTAAATCTAGTTATCACATCTTTGCTTTGCTGGATAAACATCACTGGAGTAGCACCAAGCTTTTTTAAGAAGGTGACTCATATCTAACAGGTTTTGAAGGTTCTGAGAATTAACACACAGCCCTAGGTCTGAACCTGAAACGTGAATCTGCTTAAGAAACAGTCATCACTCTACCTGATCTTCCATCTCGTTGAATGTCCACATGATACCATTCTCCATCATTGGCTTTCTTCTGGGTGGCCTTGACTTTGATGGTCCCAGAACCCATGTCCAGCAGCAAGTAGAGGTTTCCATCTAGAAGCTCAACTGCAAAGAAGTCTACCTTTGTATTTTTCTGGCTTCTGGCATCTTTCCTCTCCTGAGGCTTGCCGTGGGTGAAAAGGATCAGTCCATTAGGTTCAGTGGTTCGGAAGTCAAACGAGATAGAGCCCATCCTTTTGGTATTCCACTTAGGCAGACTAATATAGGCCTCAGGTGTCTCAAAGCTGATGGGATCCAGCGTAGCCACATTTTCACATATGAATTTCACTTCCCCATAGATCTTCATCTTAGTATCACCAATCCGTGCCAAGCGAGACAGCTCCAGACGAATGTCATTATTCTTATAAACAACCTGCCAGACACAAGGAAAAGCATCATACATCAATCCTGCATACAATACAAATACCCCAGTTACTTTCAGCCATGGGAGATAAACTTCTTCCAAAAGGCACGAGGGAGCAGAAAGGAGACAGTGCAAGAGTCTGACATCAAGACAGAGTGAGAGAGCTGAACCAGGAGTGTGTATAGAAATGACAGCACCGGGTACTTTGCAATAACTATAGGTCACATAAGCAGTCAGAAGAGAATATTTAACTGAAAGGCACTAAGAACAATTAACTCTACCACAGGCCCACTCGGCTGTAAAAGCTTTTGTACAAAAAATCCAGTGTATGTCTGGTATCATGCTGTTATATTTGCATAAATCCCATACAAAATACATAACAAAGTGAAACCTCCATGTCCATCTCTACTAGCCACAGCAGGGAACTCAGTACCACCACTATCATTTCGCTATTATTCCTACAAGCCCACTTAACTACTAGGAAAGAGATGCAAAATAATTTCAGCAAGTTGCTGTGAACTGTTAGTGATTGCCCTGTAGCTCCTAAAGAAAAAAATAAACAAAAGACTTAAAATTTCTCTTATCAAGGAATCTTATATCACTACATGCACAAACAGGTACAGAATTAATTCCTGGAAAGCAGACTCCTCTCTGCCCCATGCCATTCTCACACAGGCAGGAACTGGAGAAAGCACAAAACTGAAATATTTGTAAACTGTACTTCCTCTCAACCCCCTCCATGCTTCCTAAACCCAGAACTGGCATACACAGCAAGCAAAAGCACTTCTGCAACTAACACAATTTTTATTGTATTTATGTTCTGTGATACTACTGAAGACTCTTATTTCTTCTAAGGAGTTATTATTTTAAAATACTTTGTGTCTAATACGTATAGTATATACACATTTGATTTCTGCTTTCAAAATGCCATCAGGATGAGTTGTCACCAATTTGTTATGAAAAAGAAGGGAAAGTAGATATGCATTGTTAATTCTACAATTAGGATAGGGAAGTCAGAGAAATGTGCATGCAGTAAATATTAAAAGGTGAGAGAAGAGAATGAGGGATAAGCTTCTAAATTAGGTGACTGCAGGATGAAAAAAGTAAATGAAATCACAATTCATCACATTCATAGTAAGCAAAGAATTTCCAGCTTTTGCTAAGCATTAAAGGAGAATTTCCCCAGTGCAGTCAGCACAGCATCAGATTTTCCTTTGCAGAGGCAAAACACAGAGCGAAAGGAGAAGCCAGCTATTAAATCCCATTTGGAGACATGGCACAAAGCTGTAGTTCCTCCCAGCAGAGGACAGTATTGACCCACAGTAGCTTGTTTTACTCCAATTCCCAATAAAGTGCTCTGCCCTCACGCAGGCTTCAAAAACATCAAGTCTATTAATAGCTGCAATAGGACTAAAATACACTTTCAAATTTGGGACTGTACTGGTTTCATTGTATGGATATGGATTAACCATGTCAAATGCTCTCATTAGACAGACCCATACACGTGCTTTCATTGACACAACAAGGGTGTGCATTACAGTCTCCCCTCTTGCCAGACAATAATGTGCACCTCAGTCAGACTTTAGTTCTGAGCACTGCATGAAGTCCTGTCTCTGCTTCTCAAAGAAAAAGAGGAAAATAAATAGAAAAACTAAGAGGATGGAGCAGGATACTTTATGAGGATAGCCTGAAAATGCCAGGGCTCATACTTGGAGAGCACTGGGAAAAATAGGATTGAAGTTTATAGAAGATGGAGAAGGTTAATGTAGAACTGCTCTGTGCCAAACCCAGCAGTAATAGAACTAGAGGCCCTCGCTGAAACTTGTATGAAGTCACTTTAAAATGGATTTTTAGAAGTACTTATTTACACAGAAGGTAGTGCACTTCTGGAGCTTGCTGCCACAGGAGATCATGGAATTAGGGTCAAAAAGAACCAGAATGAAAAATGAACACCAAGTACATAAACTGATACTAAAGTAGTAAACCAGAAAGTCACTAACAATGAAGAATCTGAGAGCAAGTTTGAAAGGACAGACCAAGAAAGCAAGCACAAAGGAAGACCTGAGGAAGAGAAGATAAAGGGTGTTGAATAGATACAAGACTTCTGAATTCAATCTTTTCAAAGAATCAGATCCACCCCAATCAGAATCTCCATTATTCAAGTGTTTGTTGTTCTAAATTATTTTCTTAAGAAAAAAAATCCTAGCTTGAGAAACCTAAAAAGCACCTGTGTTTAAGGAAAAAAGTGTAACTATTTCCATAGCTGACTTCAGGTATTATTGAAAGACACATTTGGACATTAATATCTTGACATATAATCAGGTACGCCAGAACTTTCAGCACAATAAAAGAAAAGGATAAAAATAATCCTTGGGTGTAAAACTAAAGCAAATCCTTGGCAAGAATAGAGAAATGCTAAGGCAGCTCCTGATAACCACAGTTCAATTGTTAAACCAAAGGTTCAAGAATGAAAAAAAGGGAATATAATTAAATGACTGGAATGCATGTCCCATAGTGAAGAACATTCAAATTCAGTCTGTTTAATAGGTAGAGGTTAAAAGGTGATCCGATTACAATCTGTGAGTACCTGTGCAGAAAATGGAATGTGGCAATAGAGGGTTCTTCAGTTCATGTGACAAAGGAACACTGGAATTTGGAGGTTAAAAACTGAAGTTAAAGAAATTCACATTTTAAAATATTATGACTTATTTTTACATGATGTAATTTGCTTCTGAAATAATTTACTACAGGTTATGGTGTGTTCTCTGCTACTGGCAAATTTTAAATTAAAACAGTATCTTGTTTTCTCTAAAAGATACAGTGAGACAGGAATTAATTATATAGCAAATCAGCCTAGATTATCATAATGGCTCTTTCTGGCCTCATAACCTATGAATCTTTGTGTTTTAATGAAATCAACAGATGCTTCAGTGCAGTTTCCAGGACAGCCGAAACACATCCTTCCCAACTGTTAAAACTGCCTGGTAAAGGAGTAGATGCTGCTGTCAATTCTGGTCTCACTTGTCACAGTGCTTTCAGTGAAGTTGTTTTATATTTTCATGTGTTTGTGATCCTACCTTGCAACATACCATTAAAAACGAAGGCAAGTAAAAAGTCTTGGACAAAAAAGCTTGATTCTATAGTTCAAATATATAAGCTTCAAGAACTAGTTTCTTAGAGTTACTGCTGCAAGCCAGAGAAGAAAAATTTTCAAGTTTCACCAAGGAAGCTTTCTGCCACCAGAAGAATCTGCATAGCACTTCCTACCTTGTAGTGTCATGAGCAACCTCTGAACTAATTTGAAAGCTTTTCAGTATGGCAGAATACTGATTGAAACCCACACCTCTAACTCCAAATGAGGCCATGACTGACCCAGAGTGCTGTCCCTCACTTGAACATAGTGTCACTCTGGGACATGGTTTCTATAGCAATTGAGAAGAAAGCAAGCAATAAAACAGTGCCCATTTTTATCAGATGCTTCCTAAACAAACACAACCTCACCTGTTCAAACAGAGACAAGCTTGAATTCATCCCGTGTCCGATATTTGTATCAGAAAAGGTCTGAGGGAGTCAAGGACATGATTCTTGATACAGACATACACATCTACCTTACAGTTATTTTGGGAAGGAAGGTGGAAAACAGAAAGGGGAAAAGAAATTACTAGCAAAAGCTATGCACAGAGCATTTGAAAAGTAACCGCCATTCCTCCAATCTTTAAATTGCTTTATATTCCAAAAATTAAACAAGAATAATAAAAAATTTGGGTTTTCCTTTTCCATGAGGACTGCTTCTAAACAATCTTTCAAAAAGGAACATTAACTGTTCAATGCCTTTGCTTAATGAATTTGACCAGTATAAATGGATGGTCAGGGATGGGATAGTCCAAATACACATGGACCTGCTAATCAGCAGGAGAATTTCATGACATCTGAGACATTTTGAGGGGAAAAAAAAATATACATTAAATTGTGTTTCCTATAATCTGCTGAGAAAGATGAGTTTGTTTTAGGCAGAGCTAAAACAAATAGACAATCTAATTTTGAGGTTTCTTAAAAATGGCAACTTTGCAATTCTGAAGCATTCAAGGAATTTCTCCAGCTAAACTTATAAGAAGTTTCACTCATGGGTTAATGAGAGCTCTAATCAGATGGCTTTTCACAATGATGAAAAGCATCTCTTTGCAATCAAGTGAAGTTGCAGATAGAGAGGCGGCGACAAAAAGTGAGGAAAAATGATGTGCTAAACTTGGCCAGTGGCCAATATAAAAATTCCTCTCAAAGTTGGTGCTATTAAGGAGGAAATACGATTTCCAGTGCAGGCTGGATGCAGGGATGCTCCAAAGGGAAATGGCTGTTGATCGCCTGGCAAATTAGATGACCACCATGGAAAAGAGCAATAACTTGAAGGCTGCATATGTTTAGTTAGCTATGAAGAGCCCTTCCAAAGTTCAGCCAGATTTTTCACCTATTTTATTCTATGTATCACTAATTGCTTTTTTCTGTCACAGGCTGCCCCCTTCACTAACTGTCCATATCAATTTTCAGAAGGGATAACTGCAAGACATTCAGACTAGAGCCTTTCTGAGACTTTCTTAAAGGCACCTGCACTGAACCAGACAAGTTTCTGCAGCTTAAAAAATTTACAGTTTACCCACTGGTTTATCAGAACTGTGTTTTCCTAGCCTGCTCTGATGAGCAAGTAGAAACTAACACACCAGTTAAAAGCGCTTTACATTCTGTTTGGGGCAGACTATCTATGAAGCAATCCAAGGCTTCAGTGACGGGCAACTAAAGCTGCTACACTTGTTCACTGGGATAACAATTGTAATCAGACAATAAACAAACACAATCACCATTCACTACACTGAAAGAGTTAATTTACCTGTAATGAAAAACAATACATTGAACATTGATGAAAAGTAACTGAAACCACACAAATAAGACTCAAATATGATTTGTGCTATGCTGAGTAAAGTAATGCAATCCTCCATTTCATCTGAATTATGTTT